GAAGCAATTAATTTTAATTTGATACAATAATAAAAATCCTTGTTTCCTAAATGCGTGGTAACCATGGTGGTAGCTGTTAAAAGTGCATTCAAGTAGTTCTAATGATGCATCTAGTTTGAGCATAATTTCCATCGTCATGAAGTTCATGTCATAGTCATAGTCATGTAGAAATCATTTATCCCTGTTTCTAGTGGTCCAATTCATTATATAATCGTTTTCAATTATGCATTATTTATCTTTTCGTATTGTTTTCTACATGTTGTGGTCAATTATTTCCTTTTAATTTCAATATATATATATTATGGTTTTCTGCATGAGAAATTTGAAATGTTTGAGGTCATTTCTCTGAATTGACACTGTTTGATTAGGGATTTTTTCAAATTATTATTGACAATTCTTTTCCCATTACTAGTTTATATTTACAATAAAATAAGATATAAATTTGACGTTATCTAAACAATCCTTCCCTATTTTTCCTGTTATAGCTGGTGTTCTTGTTTCTGTGGATATATGTTGTTTCCATTGTCATCATAAAACTAATGTTTTAGCCCTCAGCGAAATAAATGCAGGCTTTTTCTACTCAAATGCAGAGCAGAGAGAGGCAATGGTTGCAGCAGAAAGGCGTGCTGTTGATGAAAGAGTCAAAAAAATTATTGAACTAAAAAATAAGGTAGCTTTGGGATGCATCATTTACTATCATTGTTAATGAGGCATTTGTGCTGCGGGTGTACATAAATTATTACCATGTTCCCCCTTCTTGGTCCTATGCAGGTTTGTGCGGGCACTGAAAACAATTTTGTTGTCATCAACCAAAAGGGTATTGATCCGCCTTCCTTGCATCTCCTTCAACAGGCCGGGGTAAGTTATGGACCTTTGTTCTTTCTATCTTTGTTCCAACTCCCAACTTATAAATCTTTAATGATGTCTTACTTGTTTGATTGTTGAATATAAATAATTTTTCTTCTAGGCAAGTCACTTTGTTACATTATACATATGATTTCAACTTATCCATGTTTCCTCCAATGAAGAAGAGGGAGGATCAATAAGTGAATACGTGATTACTGAGCTGCCTTACTATTAATTTTTGTGCTCCTAGGTTGCAAAATATAATAGCATTGTCATTGCATTAGGTCAAGTGTCAGTAGCAGATGTCTCATAAGCTTCCATTTCAGCATACCATGTTTGTGGTTTGGTTATTGTTATTATAATAGCCATCTTGGTTTGAGAACAAAATATGATTTCCTCATTGGCAGCTTTATAGTACTTTTCTCTGGTACCTTCTACACAGTCATTCATTTGAATTTATGGGGAAAATTATTATTCTAGAATATCAAGGAGTAATTGTTTGTGGCCATAATTATTACTAGATGAATTTATGGGGAAAATTATTATTCCTATATGTTGTGGAAGATTCTATCTTTTCAGGGCATTTTCTCAAGTGATAAAATATATAGATTTAGGCTAGTTCCTAAGTTGAATTGTTACCTGTAAAACTGAAATGATTTTTCCAAAGGATTTAATTAAATTGTGTCTCACTTGTTTGTTTTTTCTTTAATGCAATTTGCTGATTCATGGTTTTGTAGATCATTGCCCTCAGAAGAGCAAAGAGAAGAAATATGGAAAGGCTGGTGTTGGCTTGTGGAGGAGAAGCTGTAAACTCTGTTGATGATTTAACACCTGATTGCCTTGGGTGGGCTGGACTCGTTTACGAGCAAGTCCTTGGGGAAGATAAGTATACATTTGTGGAAAATGTGAAGAATCCTCATTCGTGTACAATTTTAATAAAAGGTACTTGAAATGTGTTTGCAGCTTCAACACCATCATTGATGGTACTGCTTATGCAAGATTTCCTATTTATGTGATATTTACTCTATCATCTATACATTAGGGCCTAATGACCACACAATTGCCCAAATTAAGGATGCTGTTCGTGATGGTCTGCGTGCAGTCAAGAATACTATTGAAGATGAAGCTGTTGTGTTAGTAAGTTCTGCTTACTATTGATTTTGTTAGCAGTTTTTTATGCTTCTTTATCTGAGTGTTTGCATAGATCATTATCTAACTTGTTTTAAAAGTAATTAACCCAGACTAGAACTGGGTAGTTTGGACTTTGGACTTTGGAGTGACTTAGCTAATCAGTTTAAACTATTTTATCTGGAAGCTCTTAGGAAAAAAATTTTAATCTTAACGATTTTCATAATTTGAGAGCTTTATGCATTAGGCAAATATTAGTATTATCTACAGTTATCGTGGAAGGGTGGTTGTAAATAGAGTAAAATATAAAAACCCTCCTAAAGTTTGGGGGAAAATACACTTACCCCACATTAATTTTGAAAAATCAGCCCTCTGAAAATTTAACAGTGTTAATTACCAAGTCAAGTTTAAATGAAAAGACAAGTATGTCCCTTTATTATTTATTTCACTATTTTGTATTTTATTATTTTTTTCTCTTTTCTTTTTTCTTTTGCCCATTTTATAATTACAAAATAGGGAGATTTTCAACCTGGGAAAGTGTTTGTTTCACTCAGACAGATTGGAATACAAAGGTCTCTGTTTGTACTCCTAAAATCTGATCAGATGGGCTATAAAGCAGAATAAAAAGGAACAAATAGTTGGTTCATTAAGGTAAATAGCTTTTCAGATAACCCACTAGAGACGCCAATAGAGATGGTGGTGGAAAAAGAAGTTGCAAATTCCATTAGCAACTTGTACAAATTATAACCTATTGACCTGGAAAAATTTTGGTTTATCTGTTAATGAGCTGTTAGACTTCTGGTATTTTCTTTTTACTTAATGTGTTTTGATTGAACGGTGAGTGTGATGGAGCTCTTAGTCCGTGTTTTTATATCGAACTCTGCTATGAAATGCAATCTGCATGCCTCATTTGAGCTTTAGGTCAACTATATAGAAAAATGCTATCAAAAGAAACAAAATACATTGCAAATTTTTCTGTTATATTCTGATCTACGCCTAATCTGTGCTTCAGGGTGCAGGAGCTTTTGAAGTTGCAGCTAGACAATACCTAATTAATGAAGTGAAGAAAACTGTTCAAGGGGTATAGCTCTCCCATATTTTGTTATTTAGAATAATATAGAAAGACTATTTAAATATTTCTGATGTTTGTAAAACTTTGAGCAGCGTACCCAATTGGGTGTTGAAGCTTTTGCTGATGCACTTCTTGTGGTTCCCAAAACACTTGCTGAAAACACCGGGCTTGATACTCAGGATGTGATAATTGGTCTGACGGTATTATTTTTTGTCCTAATCACTGTTTATTTTACTTTTCAAGCAGCAGCTTGAAAAACATGAGTTCTCATTGACTGTTTGTTCAGGGAGAGCATGACAGAGGTAATACTGTGGGTCTAAATCATCATACAGGAGAACCAATGGACCCTCAAATGGAGGGTATATTTGATAATTACTCTGTTAAGCGCCAAATTATAAACTCGGGGTATGTGTAAACTTTCTACTTGTGTTTCACACTCATCTCCATTGGCCCCAATTTTTACTTTTAACTTTGCTATTATTAGAATATCTCTCCATTTTCACCAATTTACTCTTTATCTCTATTGGCATTTCTTTACTTGCCATCATGATTCATTTTTAGTATTGAAGTTGTAGCAAAGACATTATCATCAATGTTATCTTGTTTTTTGGTGTACTATATATTTTAGGCCTGTAATAGCATCACAGCTGCTGTTGGTGGATGAAGTCATTCGGGCTGGTAGAAACATGCGGAAGCCAACTTAAGCATGTTTGTATGCTTCAGTTAAAACACTTTTTTTGCCAGGGTGATTTTGTTTTGTGGTTAGGGTGTCATCGTTGTAATCTTTTCCAGTAATGTAAAACTAAGGTGGCTGTGTTGAGAGGATACTTCTAGGAGGAAAAATTCATTTCCACTCAATTGGTTTAAAGATTAAAGTGAACTTTTTTTTTCCCTCGTATACATGGCATTGATGATTGATCAATACAATTTTGCTTCATAAGTTTCAAGTTCTGATTTGCAGAACACCATATTTAACAGGTATTGCAAACACCATTCCTGAAATGGGGCATGTTGGAAAGTTATCTCAGGTTCAAGAAATGATTGAACCTTGAATGTCAAGATGAAAATGTTTACTGATCTCAAACTTGGCAATGGCCGAAAAGGGGTAAGATCTAAAACAACCTCAGACATGAGGTGACTACAAATTTTGAAATGGCATGTACTTATCCAACCATTTTATAACGAGTCAATTTAAAACAGATACGAGGAACGACATGAAATATATATATATATATATATATATATATAAAGTGATGTAATTTAAAATTTAAATAAAAATTATATATGAATTTAACAAAAAAAAAATTTCATATTTTTTGTGTTGAAATAAATTGTTATATATTGTAATCTAGACAGAATTGTTAGTGCATTAAAACTCCACCTCAGGGAACAGCCAAATTGAGCCATTTGCAATATTATTGACGGTCAAATGTTTATTAAACAATTCAAAAATTTCTTCTATTTGCTGGATACTCATGGCCATGGGCAACCCAACAGTGGAGTTAGATGAGTTTATCCAGCATTTCAAAACCAGTGCATGGTATGAAAAATAAAAATGAAAATAACACAGAAGCCATGATTAGCATAAGTCAATTATTCAACATTTAACACATGGTTTTCAATTTGAGTAACTCTTGCATGTCTACTCTAACAAGTAACATTTGGTTTACAGATCCTGAAATCTCAAATTGCAATTCCAAACAGATCCATGATTTAATGCATTAAGTATGCACAACTATTGGAGATTGGAGCCTCCATCCCACATGAAAAAAAAAAAGAAGAAAAAAACAAAACATTTGCCTTTAGAACTGCATATTTATGAATTAAAAGCCAGATTGGAAAAAAAGATAGCATTTCCAAGGCAGGCATATGGATTAAGACAAACAAGTTGTACCATGAATACTCCTTTAAAATAGCCACCATTGGAAAGGGAATGAACTTAGACTCTTGCAGATCACTTATGATTTTCCTGAAGCATGTATTCTCTCTTCATTTCTTCCAAGACAGCATCATTGGTGCTGCCATAATAGAATACGTAAGAAATGAGTTCTTTCAAAGTTCGAAAGTAGATCACAGCCTTTCTCACAATTACAACATCTGTCCATTAATGTTCAATTTAAACAGTCATCATGGATAATATATATATATATATATATATATATATATATGTGCATTTTTTTGGATTCAATTTTCTCAACAAGTTCTTCAAGTAATAAAGAAAAGCAAAACTGTAACAACAGGAAAGGAAGCGAAACAACCACCATTACCCATGTGCACTCATTCTAAATTAACTGCACAATGGCTTTCCATACAAAGATGGAAAAAATGTGAAACCTACTTTCTTTCAACTATACCAACTCAAGGAATTAGGACATTCTTTTCATTTCTCATTTCATTCCCAAGCTGCTACTTAGACTCATGTGCCACATATTGCAATGACTACAAAGTTTCATAAAAGATACTTACATAGTATGTAAAGCTTAACAATTGACATAGATACTTGATGCCCAGGGCCGAAGCATCAGTAATCAAACAGCTTTTTGGGCTGAAAGCACTTACCACAAAAGTTTAAACTCAAGTTGCTAGTCTTGTGAGACTTGAACCCTTATAAGGGTCCTAGCATTCAAACTTTATATCTAATGTGGCCAGGGGTATCACACAATAAACGATTGGATTAGAATATTACAATAGCCCACTAGTATAGCAAGGGATCCTTCAATTATTTATAATTACCTTAAAGTTTAATTCAAATATATTTATAAATAAAGGGATCTGTAAGCAAACTAGAGATGCAAATAAGTTAAACTAGTAGACAAATTAACCTACATACAAACAAGAGAATGTTCATGAGCCATCTTGTTTCTATAGGGCAAGATATCGTGCAAGATAAAGTTTAAAGGTTTGAAGATAAAAAACTATACTTAGATTTCACTTTTGAAGGTGTGTAAATCAACCATCTTATCAAAATTTTTTAGAAAACCCTAAATTTTATGAGATTTAGATCAGTTCTTAATTTTAGTAACTAGGAATTTTTAAACATTCAAATAAGTGTTAAGCAAAAACTTATAATGAGTTTATGGGTGGAATCAAAAGAACTAGGGTTCAAGAATATTATAGAAAAATTTCCATGAATGAAATCCTGGCAAGTGGATGCATTATAGTAAACAAGGCAAGTTGAGGCTACTTTCTAACAAATCAAACAAAATTGGGTGTTGAATTTTCCAAGTCAAGACATCTCATTCCCTACAAGGCAATGCATGTCTTTTGATAGTAGCACCCAAATCATGATACCTCATTCTACATCAGACATGACTGTCATTGATAAGTCCCATTGCTATGACATTCCACATCAAATATGAGTTATTGATAAATCCCATATAAGGGTTCAGGTTACTCAATATTAGAAATTTGAACTTTAACAGAGCTACCGTTTTTGACCCAAAAATAGTTTGGGCATATCATGCTTGGGCTTCAGGCATTACATTTTTAAATTGAATTCATTAAAAATGTCAATAATAGGATTTGAATCTTGGTCTCGATGGAGATGTGTATCATGTTTGTAACACCTAGATCCCATCAGAACTTTCTAGCTTAACATACTTAACTAAGAGCTATACTAGGATGCTGACCTAGGAATTCTTTCTATCGCATCCAAGGGGATTGTTGCCATACAAAATGGTTAACCTTCGAAGAAAATGAGATATTAACTTAGCGGTCGTTTGGAGATGTTTTTGTTTTGTGTTTTATGCTTTTGTTTTAATCTTTTTTGGAAATTGGAAACAAAATTATGTTTGGCAGGTTGCTTTTGTTTTAAAAACTAAAATCTGAAAAAAAAATTTGGGAAATTGTAGGAAGTGAAAAAAAATGATGTTTTCAATATTTTGAAAACATTTCAATCACTGTTACTACATGGGCGAACAGTACCCGTGAGTGAACAGTATCAGTTTTAATAACAAAATTTTCAAAGCTGCCAAAACTTGGATTCGAACCCCTGCCAATTGGTAAACCATGCGCTCAACCACTTTTCATTGTGGTCCCCTGTCTTAGTGCTTCTGCAACAAAAATATAATTTTCAAACATGTTTTCAACTTCAACAAAATGAAAATAAAACAAAACAAACTTTTCAAAAACATAAAACTCAACAATATCAACCAACCACTTAAGAACTCAAAATTCAATCTTGTTTGATTTGATAGGAACTAATCTTGACTAGCTTTTGATACAAAATTCAATCTAATAATTTGCTGGGATTTTGGTTAACACATGATAGATTTAGAGATAATCTTCATGAATCAAATTCTTTTACATTCTAGCCCTTAAAACCATCATAAATTCTTAACACTTTTTTGACTGATTTGAATAAATCCTAATCATACAAATTCATCAAGTCATAAAAGAACAATTAAATTGCATAACTTGTAGGGTTTTGTAATGAACTTAAATTTTAAATGTCATGGTTTACCTTGAAAGTGAAATTCAGCCATAGTTTCTGATTTTTAAACCTTCAAACATGATATCATGCTACTTCTTGTTCGACAGAAGATGCATGAACATATTTTTTATTTTAGGTAAGTTAATTTGCTACAAAGTCAACTTATTTTCAACCCTACTTTGCTTATAAAACCCATTTTATAGTTTGTTAGTAAAACTTCACAATATTATAAAAACACAAGGGACCCAAGCTACAATAGTGGGTTGTTGTAATACCCTACCCCAACAGTTATCCAAGCTAGGGTATCAATGATACATGGCAATTAATGTGTCTCATGGGATGTAGGGCAAATGCTAACTAGGAGAAGTTCTTAGGTTTTATGCCATTAAGAAGTGTAATTAGGTTGTCGTAACTAATGTACGAAAAGACACCTGAGAAAATCATCTCAAGAAAGTCCAATTTGAAAAATTGCAAATTTCAAGGAATGAAGTAAACAAGAAACAATTATATCTAAAATGAGAATAAGACATTTTATTTGCACTTAAATGCCTAGATCTTATATTATTCATTATCATCATTTAAAATATGAGAATAAGGCTGTTCTATTTCTTTTCACTTCACAATAGCTTGATTGATAAATCAAAATGTGAAATATCTTGAGATCACACAAACAGGAATGGTCTGACTTAAACTAAACTTGAAATACACTTTAGACAACTTAGATGTTGTTATCCACTAATATCCAATATCAGCAAACCTATCATATTCATCAGCAATAATTAGCCTTCAATATCCTAGTACCATAAGTAACCTGACCGAGAAACAATTTATGCCACTAAGCTTAGTAGGTGGAAGCAAGTCCATAGCCTTAAATATCAACCAACTAACCAAAAAGTCACATTATTTTCAAGGCAAACTTCACTTCTCATCATTAAGAACACAGTTTCTCTTTGGCACAATTTAATAGCGTCTTTCCTTAGGGTAAGGAGTTAACAACCATGAACAAACTCAGTCAATAGAGATTGTTGTGCCACTAAAAGCAAGGATGATGTTTTATGCATGGAGTATTTAAAAAATGCAAGGACTTTAAAATCCTTGGATTGTAAAATACTACATTTCAGAATCCATAGTTTGGGTAACCATAAACAAGATTCTAAAAAATCATGTCATATCTCCAAATACACTAGAATCATATCACCCACCACCCCATCCATCAAAATTGCTACTTGGAGAATGACAAGAACTGTTACCTAACCATAAGCCATCTTTAAAATAGTAATAGATCCACCACTTGACCTCTCCAAATTTCTTAACATAAACGTGCAATCAACAACTTGAATTTCTCAATCAAACCAGCAAGTCAACAACCACATTCTAAACCAAACTAGCTCAAGGGACAACGGGCAATATGAAGAAAAAAAGGAATGTTGATCCCTCTGTGTCTGTGTTTATTGTGACTGGGACAGAGACAGATGAAAAATGTAGAAGAACGGGGGGGAGGGGATGAAGATGAAGTCAGATGATGGGGCAAGACAAGATTTCTGTCCAGAGACTATATTCACCAGAGTTGCTCCATGAGAAAGCTCTCTCTTCTGGCATTTTATTCACAAATACCTGAATTGGCAGACTGCATTCTGCATTTTGAAATGCCAAATGCAGAAATGAGTGCGTAATTCAGTCCTTCAATTTATATATATATATATATATATATACATTATATCCTACAAATGCAGATGAATTTTCCAAATTCATCTTTTTGTTTCTTAAAATACAAACTCTCCTTGAACACATTTATACCTACCTGTTTTAAGTGTCACCATGCTCAATTGATAAAGCAACCTATCCCAATTTATCTCTAAGAAGCAATACACAAGTCACACCACCACAGTTGCACAAACTAAAAGACTGCCGCAATTCACCCAAAACTTAAAAATTTAATCTACAGAGTAATAATAACAGGAAGACGAAACATTTAGTCCCCCATCCATTCAGCCCCCACAGACTAAGAAAAGAAGGCATTTATGCCACACCTACAAAAATGGAACCTCAGCATAAAACAAGTAAATGGCCATAGCTGGCTATTAGTAGATAAAATAAATTTGTTTAGTTCTGTGGATTGCATATTTATTTTAACAATAAGGAATCAAGATAATTTTATTCCTTTCATTGCTTGAAAGAAACTTTTCTCAGAAAGGACATCCATTTAGAAACGTCATACAAACTTAGCATTCAAAGTTTTTGTTAAAAAAAAATTAATGTTTAATTGAAAACTCTTTCAGGAAGAAATCAAAAGTATGGTTTCAGAAATATTATACAACTTTTATGAGTGGTTTGTTTCTGTAGACTTCAATCCCGTGTAACTACTATTCACTTCATCCTAAGGGCTCAGTAAAACAATGGGAAGCAGTCTTTAGTTAGATATAGTTCCACCAAATCAAGGTATTGGGAGGGGGTTGATTTAGATAAAGTCCCTCACTTTGGCATTTTTACACGATTTAGGTGCTCTCAAAATTTAAACCTATTCCATTAAATAGACAGTCCAAACTTTTAAATACTGCACAAAATATGGTCCATCAAACTGGTCTAGCCTGCAGGTTGCCCCTATACATGAATATGCATTCAAATGGCCACCCTCAGAACCTTTCCTGCTAGTAGTTCAATACCAATTTGCTAATCTGCTTTGCAACACCAATAGCAAGGTATAGCAAAACCCAAATCAATATACTTAAAACATATGATTTGTCGAAGTAGGTACGACTGTTCATGGATGTTTCTTACATATATCAATGCAGGAAATCATTACCAGGCAAAAAATCGAAATATTGTCCCAAGAGAAAGCTGCAACGAATGGAAATCAAAACATTCAACTTGAAAGTTTCAAGTTTGAAACTTGGAGATGCAAGAATGAGGTTTATGAAATGAAAGAGAGCTACCATGGGGGTTAGCTCAAGCCTAATAGGCTTCCACATGCATTTTAAAAAAAAAAAAATCATAACATATTTAATAAAGTAAGCAAAATTTTCATATATTTCAGCAAATTATACCAATCTGCTTTAGTATACCATTATTTTAACTAAATATGGACTAAATTCAAGATTTATATTCCAAGTTTTCTCCCTAAAAAAAAAAAAAAAAGAAAGAAAAACCCAAAACAAAAATAAAGAAAAAAGAAAACAACTTACAATTGATGAAGACATTCATTTAATTCTTTAGCTTGTTTGCGACATTGCCATACAATAGAAATAGTCTTCCCAGCAGCACATTGCGCATATTTCGAAGTGTAATGGTCACATTCTTTTAGTGCCTTTTGCTTCATTTTGCTCCTTAAAGCTGAACAAACCCAAATCAAACCATTTCACAATTATAACCAAACTTTTTTATTTTTTTGATTTGCTGAAAAAAGTGTTGAATTAAACAAAAGCAGGGTTATGGCTTACCTTCTTCAACTTTCTTCTTGACGTGATTCTCACGTGCTTCCTGCACGTAACCCATTGCTAGAAGTTTCGTTCCTGCGGCTAAGTCAAAATGTTTGCGAGGAAGATGGTTATGCTGTTTCTTATATTGGTGTTGATTGGGCCAATACGGATCCAATAGTTGGTCCGACCCATTTCCAAATTGAAATAGTACCAATCAAATGGCACTGCAAATGATAATTGTGGATGCGGGTCTCAAGATCGATTCTCGGTCGTGATGGATCCAATTATCCTCTATTTTCTTAACACTATTTCTTTTCCAATTACCTTTTTTATTATTTTTATCGTACTATTTTACTTGGTAAATTATAATAAATTTTTTTTCTAAATTATTTTAAATTTAACGTTTGGAAAATAATTATTTTAGTATAAATTTCATAAAATGATAAATAATAAAATTTTCTAATGTATCACATCAAGCTAACATTTTTTACCTATTGAATATTTACATTAATTTTATTTTATTAAAAATTAATTTTTTTAAATATACTAAAAAATATTTAATGAAATATTCCATTTTAATTAATAAGTGTAACCCAAAAATCATAAAAAAATAAAACGTACGGTGACAAATTTCTATCAAAACAACAAATTGCCCTTTAAACCTTTATTTTAGTTTCTAAAAATTTGAAATAAGCCTTAAGAAACTAAAAGCTAAAACTCTTAATTGAAGTTTCCGGAAAAGAAAATTGTAATTAAAAGTTAATAAAAAAGTTAAACAAATTTTTTTAAAAGATAAAAGATATTCTCATTTATTTAATATATTTTAGTTTGACAATATTTTTTTTAAAAAAAATTATTTAATAAAACATTTTTCCATAACTATATTCAAGTCAAACATGCCAATAACACCTTCTAGGTTGTTCAATGGGCCAATATATGGGATATTGACCAATGGTTGGTCCAACGGAAAGCAATTATGATATGTTAGAATTTTCCGTAATCTATAATTAATAATGGGTGATTTTATGTTTAATAAAATAAGCTTAGGATTTAGTCTTAAGGTTGCAATCAAGCCAATATAATAAAAAATTTGAATTTAAGTTCGATCGAATTTTAATTTTTAAATTTAAGTATGGTTAAAACAAAATCGAATTATTTAAATTTGTTCGATTAGACTTGTTTATTGAGTAAAAATTAAACTTGATTTTCATACTCAATTTCAAACTCAATTATTTATATTTGTACTTGAATTTGAGCTTAAATTAATATATAAAGGTAAAATAATAAAAAAAATATATTAAAATATAAAAGTTCGATTAGGTTCATATATTAAAATATAAAAATTCGATTAAGTTCGTGAGTTACTTGAGCTAGACATGAGGATGCTCGAATTTGACTCACTCAATAAGTCATACTATTCGAGTTCAAGCTTAACTCGATAATGATTTAGTTGAATTTGAGTTTTATATAAGCCGAATCCAAGTAACTTGTAAGCACTAATGTATAATTTATACATCTATTTAATTATAATACGAAATATGTATGAAAGTTCAATTGAATTAATTGATGAGATAATTACTTTCTTGAGCTTTGATAAGAATAAAGTTGACTAGTGTTTGTACCTTAAAATTAACGGGAGTAACTATATATTTTTTAAGTTATATTCGTTGACATCTTACTATCTCATAATGATGTTGGGCTGAGACTATAAGCAATGGTTGTCAAAGTCTTTCAACATGAAATATCTAAGTGATGTCTCGTTTGTTTTTAAGTCGAAGGTTAGATATCAAAACTTATCGGGACTTTGTATGAAACTTTATATTGATTGTGTGCTCAATAAGTTTAACATTAATAAAGATAAGGTTGGGAATACAATTGTCATTAAAGGTGACAGGTTTAACTTTGGACAATGTCCAAAGAATGATTTAAGGAAAGACTTCATTAAAAGTATACTTTATCATAGTGTAGTTTGGAGTCTTATCTATGTGCAAATTTGCACTAAACCAAATATCACTTTTGTAACGGGTGTTATTGGTATATATCTTTCTAATCATGGTTTAAATTGTTGAGTTACTTCTAAGAAAGTGATGAGATGATTACAAAAGACTAAGGATTATATGTTAGTGAAAACAGTGAAAAAATTGGATATACGAGTATGCCCATAATGGGTGGTTTGATCCCCATGATGAAGTGTAGATATCCATTTTGTCCGGTATCAATTAACCTAAATTATTATTATTATTATTATTTTGGTTTCTTTCTTTTCTGCCAAAATCTTTAGGTGTATTAAATAAACTGAAAACACCTTTGTTGTTTGTCGCCTTACACTCTTTCCTAACTTAGCAACGTGAAACTCGACCACCAAAAGTTTAGTGGCTTTGAAAAAATAACAAAACTTTTGAAAATCTAGGATCTTAATCCTTGAAAATTTAGGATTTGAACCCATAAAAGCTCTATAAATGGAGCTTCTTTCTTGCAAATCAAAGAAGGAGAAATTGACAGAAATGGAAAAACCCAAAATCCAAGCAAAACCAAAAAGAAAAAAAGAAGGAACCTTGCCAAAAAAAAAAAAAAAGAAGAAAGGCTCTGCTGAACCAAAACAAAAACTTTCTATCCAAAAAAAAATCCCAAAACCTAAAAAAAACCATACACACAAACACCAAACAAAAAAGAATCATAGCCCTTGGTAATAAAGACTAATAGCACCAAAAACGAAAATAAGAAAAAATAAAAAAAAATATTTTGGCTAAAACTTTTAGCCTTGATCTAAACCATTCACAGTATTTTCTTTTAAAAATGAGGAATGAGGTCAAATCAGGACTTAGGAGGCTAGGAGGATTTTTTTGAAGTTTTTTTATCACCGATGATGATGACCGATGACTGATGGCAACAACAGCATAGTGGCAACGATGATCGGCTAACCTTTTTTTGAGATTTCTAGTTCAAAGAAGAAAAAAAAAATTTTTGGAAGAATGGTTGAAATGAATTGAAAAAAAAAATTAGGTTTATCTATAAACTGTCTAGAGCCAAAATGATGTTGTTTGGAGAAGGATCAAAACGACGTCATTTTGACTCAACAAGATTCGCGTGCCACTCCGTGAATCGACCCGCGACCTGGCTCCCCTTTAACCTCTGATTGGTCTAGCAGAACCAAACTAGACCGGTGGCAACCAAATAGTTGAGCGATCCAGTCTAGGTAAAGTTTTTTTTTTCTTTTTTTCTTTTTTTGTAATTTTTGATTTATTTTTTAATATAATTTTTTGTTATTTTAAAATTTTGTCATTAATATTTGTACATGTTAAAATGTTAAAGTTTGCTAGAGTAAATTTTTGTTTTTTTTTTATAATAATAATTAGTAAAAATAAAAGAAAAAAAATAAATAATGAAATACATAATTAAAATTTTTGATAATTTTGTTAAAATTTGAAATAAACCTTATAAAATAATGATAAAAAATAATAATTAATAATTAATGACTATGATACCAATAATAAAAAATAATTTCTAACATTTGATAAATTTTTAAAATTAAAAATAAAAAATAGAAAAAATAACAAAAATAATTAATAAAAATAATAAAAAATGACAAAAAGTGAGGAAAAAGGAAAATTCTTTCGATGATGAGATTCTAAAAGTATTTTAAAAATTGATAGTTTATGAAATCTCTAGGTGAGAAGACTTTTTTTAAAAATATTACCAATGTATTTGAGTTTTTATAAAAAATTTTCAATATGATTAAAATTCTTCTTTTCTTAAAAAATTCTAATAAAAATTCCAATAAAATTTTTAAAAGTAAAATAAAATGTGTGCATCAACATATTGTCATTTGCATTGCATACATGTGTTCATTTTTACAAAAAGTTGATATAAACCTCTGATGATAAGATTTAAAAATATTCTGAGAAGCGATGCTTAATAAATCTCTATGTAAGAAAGAAATCTTTTAATGTTACCAACGTAATGAAATATTTTAAGAATTATTTCAATAAAAAAGTTTTAATTTATTTTTCTCGAATAAAAATAGAACAATAAATATAGAGTCTTACCTTAGTTGGCAATGTGAAATGGATTAGCTTTAAGAGGAAATTAACCAATGAAAAGGCCTAGCTCAAGAAAAGGAAAAAAAGGCCACCAAAAGTTTATCAAGAATGTCGAAATTGGAAGGGGTTAGACTCTACAACTTTAGTAAGATTGGTGGAATGCCAAAAATAAAAGGAAAGGTTGAAGGCTATACTCACAAAGAGAGAAAAAAGCACCTTGAAGTACTAAACAAAAAAGAATCACTTCACCAGGTGATTCAAGGAGTGGAGCTACAATTGCAAGACCACAAGAACCATATTTCAATAATAATAGATGAATGGTAGAGAAGGGAAAAAGATTTGATCTTTAAATATGATTAAAAAAAAGCCCATACGAAATGAAGAACAAAAAACTTATAGAGAGAACAGTATATAGAGCACCTGACCAATCAAGTTTGCAAAGTAGTGAAGAATATAAAGGATATGGTTAAAAAAGTAGAGGTGTTAATAAGATAAGTCAATCTCGTAGAAGAATATGGACAGTGCCTAGTGAACTTTTTAAACAAAGCTAAGGACCATTATGAGCAAGTCAAATGTTTTCATGGATATAATTCTAGAATGATAAATCTCATGTAACAAAAGTTATATAGAATCAATGAAAATTTTCTAGTGTTGAAATTCATCCAAAAGCAAATATCTTTTACTTGTATTCATGCATCATGTACATAATTTTTAGTAATTATATATTTTTTTAAAAAAATCACAAAAAAAAGCGAAAACAAAAATTTCTAACATATGGCATTCTAATTTTTAAAAATTTATGGTAATAAAGGTTCAAGAATAGCTCACCCACCAAAAATTTCAACTCAACCTACTCGTCATTCATATAACACTAGAGTTCAAACAAGAATCATGAAATAAGAATATGCAAGTCAATTTGAAATGATTGAGAAGGCTTGAGAAGGCTCAAGTAGAACTAAAAGGGGATTTTAGTAAGATAATGGACATTGTAAAAAATCTTGATAAAGGAAAAGTGGTGGAAGGAAATCCTAACTCTTAAAAGTAATCGCCAGACACGATGGATCTTATATACCCTCAAGGGTTTAAGCCATGGCCAACCCGACCTTCTTAAGGAGCCAGAATGTAAATTTCTACTCGTGGAGGATAGTTTTATCCTTATCTAGGAATGACATCCACACTTGCTCTAAGACAATTTCAAAATTTTGCTAATCGCATCATTATAGAAAAACCATCGGAGCCAATCTTAATTTTTGACTTGGATGGTCCCAAAGAGAGAGAAAAGATAGGGATAAAAATATATGAGAAAGTGAAAGATACCAGTGCCTAGCAAAAAATGAAAATATTAGAAAATCATTATGGCATTATGGCATTCAACCATTAAAAAAATAAAGAAAAAGTTTTTTACATAATAAAAAAAAATAGAAAAAGAGAGATTGGTAGTCAACAACTATTAGTGAAGAAATTTTTACATTTGATGTGAAAGATTTATGCTATTTGAATCAACAACTTTCGAATTATGATTTTGTTCAACAATAAATTATTCAAGTATAATTTTGCTTTTGCTAAACAAGTATATATATCTGCATATGTATCTTTCAATTAGTATACATGAAAGTGGACAAGGTTGAGATTGTTGGATATACATATTCTAATTTTATTGATTGTCAAATGACATGAAGTCCATTTCAAGGTCTATTTTCATTTTAGCTAGAGGAGTAATGTCTTGGAAGGATTTAAGCAAGCTTTCTTGTCTTTTTCTACCTAGTAAGTTGAGTTTGTTGCATGTTATGTGATTGCTATGCAAGCCATTTGGTTTAAAAATCTTAATTTAGGATTTGATATTATTTATTCTATCTTTAGACCACTTAAGATTTATTGTGATGCTTGGTATACCATGTTTGTTATTAAGAATAACAAAATTATAATAGGTCTAAGCATATAAAGATTAAATATCTTACAATGAGAGATTTTATAAAAAGAGTAATACTGTTGTTAAGCAAATTGACTTTAATAGAATGATTGCTAATCCTCCTATTAGGGGGTTGAGACTTATTGTATTTAATAGACATGTTGTAAGCATAAATGTTTTGAGGCCATTTGATGTACTTGGTTAGTGGAAAATTTGTATTTTGAACTTTCACATAATGATTTACATTTTTTTATGTTGAAACCTCTTTATAGTTGGAACATATATGTGATGTTTGATTTCATGTTTAATTGTCGATCCTTGTTGATTTATATCATATCTTATTAAACTGTTATTTTTTGTACATGTATATATGGATATCTGAAATTTATTAGATGTATTGTAATATCTATAATGATAAATTTGTAGTTTATTTCATATATATATTTTTTATTTTGACCAAAATAATATGTTTCTTTGTATTAATTAAGTTGGTGTTACACAATAATTTAAAATCTTATTATAAAAATAAAAATAAAAAGAAATGAAAATATAATAATGGACCAAAGATACACTCATATTTACTTTGGTGTTATCAGAATAAAGAACAAGCCAGATCAAGTCTATCACCATTTTTATCAAAGTCTCGTTTCTCCATAACATTATTCTTGGCATTCATATAAGGATAATAACTCTAAATAAGGAATTCAAATATATGGTGGAAACGAATACTAGTTACACTTACGCTTTTGGAGAAAGAGAAAAAAAGATGAAAAGTCTCAAGATCCAACTTGTAGATCTTTAAAATTAATTTTGACAAAAAAAAAAAATAGCAACAACCATCAACCTCCAATTACAATATTCTTGCTCTCATCAACACTAGAATGCATGATACCCCTTAACAAGCCTATGTTTCTCCACCTTATCAGCCTTGTACAACATTTTCACCCTCAAAACCTTTTTTTACCCCGTTTCAATACAAACCCTCAGCCACATTCCTATCTTCATATTCTCATCCAAGATAATTTTCACACCAATGTCAGAACAACCATTTTACACTCTTGTTTAGAACAACCTCATTTTAGCACAACTAAAAAATAAATTCACAAATTTAGAAAAAATAATTAGTTGACTAGAAACCCAAAAGAATTACAGAATAACCACTTCCTTAATCCCCAAAATCAAAACTAAGCACAAGCTCTATTGTTACCTTTAAAACCTTACACCTGAGCACGTTCTTGAAAATACTTCAAAGCTTCCATCGTAGCTCATGATCTACCTAAATGTTTTTCCAAAAATGTTGCAACAAATGGCATAAAACAATCTTCTTCAATTTTCCATTGAAGATATCTTCCTTACCAAGTATGAAACGAAATCTCAAATGGAAAATAATGAGTTGAATAACTTAGATAATTCAGATGAAACACTTTTATAAATCTTCATGACAAAACCAATAGTTGAAGTTTCAAAAGATAATTTAGAAGTACACAATCTAAAAGAAATGGATGCTGAACAACAGCCTTCTCCTCAGACACAAACACATGCTCCTTCTTCCACATCAAAGTTCTTAGTATTCATAATTGATGATATTCCTCCCTCCAAATGGCTTTTAAGATTTCAAGAGTTCCTAGCTCGGGGACTTGTTAAACTACACTCCCATCCTAATGTTACAATGAATATAATTTTAATCAGATTTATCTTAAAACTGGTTAAAACCCTTAAGAATTTTTGAAATAATATTGGTAAATATAGACAATTACAATTTCTCTAATGCCCAATAATCATAGAAGTTGTATTTCAATTTTTAGCAATATTTTATGACCAAAAAGCTCACTGATTAAAAACTATCAAAGAACAAATTTTAAAGCTAAAATGCTATTTACTTCATCTAAAAGATCTTAATAGACACTACCAATAATTTTTCCAATACTTTTACATTCATGGTGGATTTGATTATGTCAATCTAAAGTAAGCTTTTATCCATTTTGTTCCAGAAGAACATGTTCAACAGATAAAGATTCAGTTAAACTTAAGATCCTTTGATTTGAGAAACATAAATCTTAATGATATCTACAAAATGATGATAAGAACCCTTGATAAGGTTTTCATAGAACACAAGTATATTACAAATTTTGTGAATAATTCCAAAAAGATGAATAGATTATATTTTTATTCCTCAATCGATTTATAATATAATATTTTTTAAAAAATTTCTGATATCTTTGCCATTATAAGAAAAAAGAAACACTTCAGAAATATCATACCCCAAAGACCCTCAATTTTCCATCCGGCTTATCCTATATTTATCAGGAAATTTTGCATTTACCATATCTTCAATGAGCAAAGCAATTTTGATATTGCAGGCAGAAGGCGGGTGGTCAATAGTCAAATACTGAAAATTCAGCTCCATTAATCAAAGTGGCTCTCACGTTCCCTCGAAACAAGAACAATTGACGGTCAGCTGCCAGCGTGGCAAGTCCAAAAGTCCGCAGGAATCCCTTTTACCCACCACTTGCCGCCTTCTCATTGGACCACTCCCTGTTTCTCTCTTCCTCTCCTTTACACTCCCAAAAAGAAAACATAAAAAAAAAAACTAATAAAAAAAGCAGCCTTCTTGCTGTCCTCACTCCCCTATAATATTTTTCCTTTCCCTTCTCATTTCCATTAACAAATCAAAAAAAAAAAAAAAAGAAGAAAAATAATCGTCGATTGGTACGTCACTTTGGATCAATTTTCTCTTTTAATTTTTTTGATTGATATTTTTGGATTTTATTTTGTACTTTTAGATCTATGGATTTTATTTCATTGGTTTATTGCCCTCATTCATTATTTTTACTTTTTGATTGATGCAGTGAATGGTTTTTAGCTTTTTTTTTTTGGTTTAATTTTAGTGCTTTTGGTTGGATCTGTTTAAGATTTAAGCTTTTTATTGCTTGATTTGAATAATTAGGTTTTTTTTTTTTTTTTTGTTGCGATCTGTTTGGTTCCTAGAAATTGGGGGAAAAAGGAAATAGGGAGTTCTTTTTGTTTTGACTGAGTTTTTTATTGCTTATATTTAGAGTAGAAAATTTGACTAGCCAAAATTAAAGGTCTGAATTTGATCTGTTTGGTTACTGAGAAAATGTTGGAACGGAAAAGACAGGAGCTAGTGCTAATATTCCATCTTCCTCACAATTTGGCTCTTTTTTTTTTTATTAATAATTACGTTTTGTTTTGTACCTGTTTTGCTTGGAAGAAATTAGATTTGATCTTAAAGTTTGAAAATTTTGAAGAAACAAAGAACTAAAAATTGAAGACTGTTAATGTTTTAGGATTGAGGAATGAGAATGTCTCCAATGATTGTTGTTGATGTCAATGCACTTGCTTAGACCAATGAAAATTTGGTTAGAAATGTTTGTTTAATAAAATTAATTCTTTGTTTAATAAAAGTAAATGTTGTTGTATTCACAGGAGCAAGTATTAGATTGATATAGTAAAGATGTCACCAACTGAATCATCACGAGAGGAAAATGTTTACATGGCCAAGTTGGCTGAGCAGGCCGAACGCTATGAGGAAATGGTGGAGTTCATGGAGAAAGTTGCAAAAACTGTCGATGTTGAGGAGCTGACTGTTGAGGAACGGAACCTCCTCTCTGTGGCTTACAAAAATGTGATTGGGGCTAGGAGGGCTTCATGGAGGATCATTTCTTCCATTGAGCAGAAGGAAGAGAGCAGAGGAAATGAGGATCATGTTGCAATCATAAAGGAGTATAGGGGCAAGATTGAAGCTGAGCTCAGCAAGATCTGTGATGGGATCTTGAGCCTGCTTGAATCTCACCTCATCCCTTCAGCTTCATCTGCTGAGTCCAAGGTGTTTTACCTTAAGATGAAGGGTGATTATCATAGGTATCTTGCTGAGTTTAAGACTGGTGCTGAGAGGAAGGAAGCTGCTGAGAGCACTTTGTTGGCTTACAAATCTGCTCAGGTGGGTGAAATTGGTGATTTAATCTTGTCAATATGATTTATTTTCTCTATAATTCCTTGGGCTTCTTTTTTACTTAAAGAGGTTAAGATAGAATTTCTTATCTTCTTTTTGTTTTGTTTGTGATGGCAGGATATTGCTCTTGCTGAACTTGCTCCTACTCACCCAATTAGGCTAGGACTTGCTCTTAACTTCTCTGTTTTCTACTATGAAATCCTCAACTCACCTGATCGTGCCTGCAATCTTGCAAAACAGGTGTTTATTCTTTACTGCTTTGCTATTAATTTCTTTTTGTTGTTGTTGTTGTTGTTGACCTATAGCGGCTAATAAACTAAACTATGATGGAGTTTTAGTTGTCTGGTTTTTTACTGTCGTGGAATGTTCATCTGTTTTGGATGGCGTAGTAAATTGTTTTAATCCCACCCCAACTAGATTTAATTGTCACGGCAACTTCTTATGAACAACTGAATTACTTGCCTGAGGACCAATCTAGTTGATACTCAGAATGGTATGGACATTTAGCTTTGGAAAAAGTTTGAAGTAATAACTATATATACTCTCTTTTTAATCATGGAATCTATTGGCAAAAGATTAAGCTTTTTGTTTTCTAGCATTGAGCAAGTCTGAACTGTAATGTCAATGTTTGCTTTTACCCATTTGAAGTATGGTAATTTTGTAAATTGATATTCATTTTACTGAGATTTATTAATTTATTTCTATGTATTTAAGGCATGAATATTAGATTGTTCTTATGTGAAGATCAACAAATGTCTTCTTGAGGACATGAATTAATTGATTGTCAGGTTGCTTGTCAACTAAAATAAGATGTTTTTCATTTGTCAGGCTTTTGATGAGGCTATTTCTGAGTTGGATACATTGGGTGAGGAATCTTACAAGGATAGTACTTTGATCATGCAACTTCTCCGTGACAATCTGACCCTTTGGACATCTGACATCACGGTCTCTCTCTCTCTCTCTCTCTCTTTCTCTCTCTCTCTCTCTCTCTCTCCCCCTTTTGTGTGTGTGTGTGTAATCATGAAAATTTCAAGCAGCTCTGCTGTCTTTAGACATCAAATAAAGTTCTCTTAAAATTGCCACAATTTGCACTAACAATTTGTTGGTGCAACCTGGCTGGTGGGATGTCTGCTTGTTCCACGCTCAACACGGATTTGACAAATGAATAAAGCTATATTCTTGACCAAAACGTATTGTATTCATTATCGTGAGCAGAGTTCTCTACCATAGTCTCTAGACATCCAGGCATTACATCTCATAGATTAGTGTGAGGACTAAATCCCCAAAGTTTCAATTAACTCTTGCTTCTTTAACTGTATTAAGAATGTTCTGTCCACAGTGTACAAGCTACAACAGATTTCACCTTATCAGAGTAATTTCAGAACTAATATCCTGAAGTTATTGTTGTTAACTTGAGACTTTGTTTTACTCATGTCAATTGTTTCATTGATTAATGTTGCGCATTGCATGTTCTTTTCTAACTGATGATGGGTTTTTCTCAAGTTTTTATTCAGATGATTTATTGTTTCATGATTGATGTGGTTTTTTTTCCTTGGTTATAGGATGAAGCTGGAGATGAGATCAAGGAAGCTTCAAAACCTGAGTCAGGCGAGGGAAAGCAGTGATGAGCTAAGTTCATAGGGTCTTTACTCTTCTGTACTTTATCTTCAAGATTTACATAGATGCAATGTGGGTTGTTGTAGAAGGTTCTTTTGTTATGCATTCATCGGCACCTGGAGTTGAAATGTTCCAAAGGATTATATGTGTGCTTTTACTATTGGACAAGAAGAATTTGGTTTGGTTTTCATGTGGTATATGCTAAAATAGTGCGTTTTCCAATCTAGTTTACCATGTTAGTTGCTTTTGTATTTTTCTTTGAATTTTAATTTCTTCCTATTTTGGATATTTTATCCGTGATTCAGTCATTTGCCAAGTGATTTTTAATCCACTGAAGCTGGAAAGTGTTTTGTTTTGACCTGTTTTGTTTATTAAAAGCATATTCAGTAATTCCCTGTTGACGCTGGTATTGCGAAAGTATTACAACTCTATTTGCTCTCTGATTAGATATTTGGCAAAGGCCTTTTTTCAAGAGAATCAATTGGAGTTTCCTAATTGGAAATATTGATTTGATTCGGTTTAATTTGAATTTGTCCATCTCAAATTTGGAAAGATCTTCACTCAAAAATAATTTGAACATAAAATTATTTGAATTTGAAAATAATTTAAATATTGAATGATTTGAATGCAAATTACAAATAATTAATTATTTGAACTCAAAATATTTAAATGATTTGAGTTTCGGGTGATTTGATATCAAAATAATTTAAATAATAATATGAATCTAAAATAATTTAAATTTTATATCTAAAAGGTCGGCACAAACTGATTTGATCAGAATTTATTAAAGTTTCGACACTAAATAACTTGACTCAAATTTATTGACCAAATTTGTCTGCTACTTTTAAATCTATGGTTGACGTGATTATAAGATTAGAGATCTTAGTCTTACCTAACTTTGACTAATAATTTATTTTTTTATACTAACAGAGATGAAGATGGGTGTTAAATTTTAGGAATAGAGTTAGGGATGGGTATGGTTTTAAATATCCAATAACTCTAAGGTCGTCTATATAAAGATAAAAAAAAAATTATATTAAATCGTAATTTTGAATCTATTTGTACTAGTAATTTTATAAAAAAATAATTTTTTATTTATTTTTTTAACATTTATATAATCTTTTATTATTTGTATTCATATTTTTCGTGGCTTACCTTTAAAAGTTTTGGTCTCTCCTACAAAAAAATTGATGTAAATACTAAGAAATGATACGATGATTAAGAAAGTAGATGAAAATATTATTTTTTATTAAATTAATTTTTTATTTAATAATATAAATTAATTTTAATTTATTAGAACTATTATATTTGTATTTAAAAATTACATATTTATAACAAAATTACTTAAATGTGTAAGATGGAAATAAAAAATTAAAAAAAACTAAAAATTTTTATTTTTTTATTTAAAAAAAAATCCCAAATATGAAGATTATTTATATCCATTAAATACTTACGGGGATAAAGATGATGATAAATTTGAAATGCCTGTTATGTATAAGTACAGAATAAATATAATATAAAAATCAAAGATGGGAATGGGTAATGGTTTAATTGTGTCATACCTTATCTATTGATATCCCTAAATAAGATAGTATGATAAGATTTTTCAAATTTATAAGCTTGATCATATTACAATGAGGCTGATAATTCTACATTTTATAGACTTGTCATAAGATAAATTGCTTAATTATAATATTTTGTAACTTGATTTTTGTTCAATTTAATCTTTAATTCACCTAATTTGTATTTGTGTCTAATTGTGGGTAAATGGAAGAACAAGGTGCTGAATCATGCTAGGGATGAATTGCGGTTGATACAAGTTGAATTTCACACCTCAACTAAGCCATGAAAAGTCAAGGAAGCAATCAAGAACAAGATATCCCTCATTTGGAAGTGTTGGCTGAAACTACCCTTCTATGTGCATGGTTGACCCTCTTTCATGCATAGGTTGACTTACAAGTATCGGGAGCTAAAATAGATGGTCTTCAAAAGGGATTTTTGAGTTGAATTGAAGGTTGAAATCATCCATGAAGGCTGGTAGTAGAAGCATACATGCTTGGTACTAAGGGACAAATAGGGACCATTGCACTTGAGGACAAATTGGTTTCATTTTGGACCATAAATGCCGCACATGCTCATCCTTCCTTCCCTTCTTTGAAGGCTATAGTTTTGGCTGAAAATTGGGCAACAATTGAAGAGCTTAGGTGGCTGCCAAGGTGTCATATACTTGGCTGCAAAGTTCCTTTCCATTAGTCCAAGCAAGCAAGGGTCACCTGGGTGTAATTGAAGTCGAATGGAGGGATAAGTACTACCAAAATGTTGCTACTATGTTCACTAATTTTGGCAGCTGTTGTAACTCTTTTGGGGAGGAATTTGGCTAGGAAATTAGTGGTCTAAATGGACGATTGACCTGGCACGAAGCTTGAAGAAGATTAGTTGACAAAATGAAGGTCACATGGGTTACAATGAGGTGGAAAAGGCAAGCTAACAAAGATGCTACCAGATTTGAGATAGGCACGGTTTGGAGGCTTGAGGGACTTAAAAATCCCTCCTTTGAACGTTCTAGACGGAGAAGAAGGAAACGAGAAGAGGGCAGCAGCAACAACTGGCTTTCTTATGGGACAGTTGTCAACTCGCCCTATACATGGCGGATTCAAGAAAAACAATTGGTCCAACTAAGTAAGCTCACATGGGAAATGAAAGACATGGACAAAAATACCAAAGAAGTCACTTTCTCTAAGGGGGACTGCTACTCTCCATTTTCTCCAGCAATTGAGGGGGTTGATGTGGGTTTTTGGAGACCAAGGAATGGCTTAGAAAATACATAGGTTGTACTATAAAAAGAACATGATAGTTTTGAGAAAAGAGAACCACCTTTAGAATTTTTTTGCTTTCTTCTTCCTTGCCTTATGTGCGGCTCAACAGGCAGCAGCCATTGCTGGCCTTGTTGAGGTTCTTTAGGCTCCATTTTAATTTTGTTTTCTTGTTTTTAATCAGCCTTGTTTATGCTTTTACTTTACTTTTATTATATTAAACCTAAGAGTGAGTAGTTGGTTGGTTTGGTCAATTCAGTCTAAAAAAATTAATAACCGAATTAACCAACTTTTATTTTACCAGTAACCGAACCGACCAACAAAATTTTAAATAGCCAATTTAATTGAACTGACCAAAAATCGGTTTGGTTCGATTAGTTTGGTTAAAAACTGAATTTTTCATAATTTTTTTCTTATTTTAAATAATTTTTTAGCTACAAATTTAATCTAATAAAACTCAAATTCACATACCATTCAAACTAAATCACTAAAGAATTTAATAATTTTCACAATATTTTACAAGAAAAAAGACAAATAAATACTCATCTAAACTTGTTTAATCAAAATAAATTAAACAATAAGTTTTAAAAAGTATTATTTTAACATATATCAAATAACAAACAAAGCCATCAATACATAATAATCATTATTTCAACACATAAACAAGTTTTCAAGGGTCAACAGGCCAACCTAATAAAGCAAATCAAACAAATATAGTTATCATAACTTTGATGCAAAACATAAAAGACATTTTAAGTTGGCAAATTGAGCTAACAGCTCATACAAAATATAAAATAAGCTAAGGACACTTCGAGTTGGCAAATGGATATAAAAGTTCATAAAAAAAAAACATAAAATAAGCCAATTAAAGGACATTTCAAGTTTTAACAGCATTCTTTATACATGAACCCTTTAGCTTTGGTGCAGATCTTTCATTGTTTCCTAAGATGTTAAAGAGATCAAAACCTTAATTAGTTGTCAAAGAATAAAATAAATATTTTCTAAATGCAAATATTCATAGAAATTAATAATGAAATTACCTTAAAAAGTTCATGCACCTTTTTCTTAATCAATTATTAGATCTAAGGCAATTTTTGACAAATCTAAAAATATATAAACAAAAAATAACAAAAGTAAGCTTTAAACAAATAAAAAAATAAAAAATAATAATACTTAAAAAATAAAATGATGGTACAAATAAAATGTTACTCACATCCATTTTGTCAAACTGTGTCAAATCATCTTCAGGTTGAAATGAATCAAGATTAAAAGATCTACATAACCAATCTTGAGCACAAATAAGGGCTTGCACAATTTTAGGAGTTAAAGAGCTTCTATATGCATCAAGCACACGACCACCAATGCTAAAAGCAGATTTGGAAGCAACTGTGAATATAGAAATCGCCAATACATCATGAGCTAGATGGGAAAGGATAGGCAACTTATGACTATTGAGTTTCCACCAAGTTAAAACATCAAAGTCATCACTATCATCATCATCAGGCTCCTCACTCAAATATTTAGTCAATTCTAATTTATGTTCATCTTTGTCGTGTTCAATCCTATACCTCTTGTACTTGGACTTAAAGTTTTGTTTCTTTTTTGTCATTTCATTTCCATTTTCATCATCAGTGGGTTATGACATTTGGCTTACTTGACTACTTTCACCAACTTGCTTAGACTGAGGTTTTAACACTTTTTTATATTCATTAAACAAGTCTTCTATTGCTTGTTGTACTTTTTTAATCATCAATGAAGCTTCATCAGAAGAATACATTTTCATGAAATAATAGTAAAAAAAAGAAAGCTTTTTTGAAGGATCAAAAAGAGAAGTAATATAAATCAACATATTCATTTTCTCTATATTTCTCCAATACTTATCATATTTATCCTTCATTCTTTTTGCAATTGCATTCAACTCAACATTAGGATTTAATTGCCATTCTTGCAAAATGGAATAAACATTACATATCACTAAGAAAAGTATTAGATGTGACGTAAAAGGTACCTAAAACTTTCATGGTGAAATCATAAAATTGTTGCAAGAAAAGGTAAAACTCCCTAACAATTGCCCAATCATTTTGATCGGGCACCCTATCTCTCATCAAAAGCTCACTTCTGTAATAAGGATCAATATCATCAAATGCATCAAATGCCCTTTCAAACTTTTGAGCTGCATCCAACATCAAATAAGTAGAATTTCATCTAGTGCTAACATCCAAACACAATAAACTTTTACTTTGAATATGTTCATTAACAACAAACTCTTTAAACTTAGCTAACCTAAAAGGTGATTGTCTCACATATTTTACTACCCCTCTAACACAAGTAATTGTTTCATTCATTTCTTTTAATCCATCATAAACAATAAGATTAACAATATGTGTAATGTATCTGAAATGAAGATATTTACCTCCCAAAATAGTAGTTCCAGCATTGTTAAATTTCTTTCTTAAATATGCAATTGCAACATCATTAGAACTAGCATTATCAACTATAATAGTAAAAATCTTATCAATCCCCTAATCATGCAAATATTTTTCAACCACCTTACCAATAGCTTTACCTTTATGACTA